TCTTCTTCTTCTTCTTCTTCTTCTTCTTCTTCTTCTTCTTCTTCTTCTTCGTCTTCTTCTTCTTCTTCTTCTTCTTCTTCTCCTTCTCCTTCTCCTTCCTTCTTCTTCCTCTTCTTCTTTTCTTCTTCTTCTTCTTTGCACGTAGGACAACAGGCAGGCGGCTGGTCTCTGGCCCGTCCTTCTCACACCCAGACCATGATGCTGGCCCAGCAAAGGACCTTCTGGAGAGCTGCCGGCGCTTGCCCTCGACTGGCACAGCCCAAGGGGGGCCTCAGCCCAGCCTGCCTCCCACAACTCGCAGAATCTCAGGGCTGGAGGGGTCCTCCGGTGGTGGAGCACCCAGGACTCCAGCTCTTCCGTTGATGCAATGCTTGCAGAAACAGCCCCGGTTGGAGAAGGAAGGCTAGTTTTGAACCCTTTCAGAGGGTCCCAGCCCTCAGCAGGGGGCCGCAAGTGGAGGGGGCCGGCAGAGGAGCAGAGTAAGCCAGAGCGGGGTTGGCTGCCTTCCCTTGGCCATGCAGCCCTCTTGGCAGGCACCTATCCTAGGCTGAAACCCCGCAGGGGATGCAAAGCGGCAGCCGCTGTGGAGACAGATTTGCACATGTGCCACTTTTACTTCAGTGAAGTAGAACGGGAGTGCCAGCGCTGGAGAGCGGCAGCCGGGCCTGCCTCCTTCAGTGAGCCACCAAGGCTCCCACAGAAGGAACCGCTAGGAAAGCTCCCTGTTCAAGAGGCCAGCCGGGAGGGCATTTCCTGGCCACACAAGCATTTTAACCAGCGCGGCGTCACACGTCGACAGTAACCCTGGCTGGGAGGGGATGAACGAGAGGAGAGCGGTTCTGGGTACCCCTACGGCTGCTGCGGTTGCCCTGGTGTTCCTCTCTGCAGGTGAAGCACGGCCCCTCCCTTCTTCATCACCCCGTCAAGGTCGAGAGAGGCTTCCGGGCATAAGTGTCCCGGTCAAATCCTTGGCTCTCGGCATCCTCCCTGCAAGCAGTTCACCACAACGGAACTGCTGCGCTGGGCCTTTCATCTGCTTTCCTGGGGCTCCCTCGGCGATAAAGTGGAGGCATCAAAGCTCCAGCCAGTCCTGGAGCCACAATCTCAGCATCTGTCACAAGGTTTGTGTTGCTGCCACAGCAGGAGACCCACCAACCCGAGGGAGATGCGGGGGAGGCCCACCAGCCAACACTTCAAAGGGCCCCTTGACTGCAAGAGGCGAATCACCCCCTCCCCAGAAAATCTGGTAAGAACTAAAACCCACTTAGAGGGTCTCGTGCCTTTTCCTATTGTTTTTTTTTAAATCACACACCATCAAAGTCAAACAAAAATATACAAATCTATAATCCTGACCAAGTCCTACAGAACCGTCCAATTGGGGGAGGGGGGGGGGAAACCAAACTTCCGGTCTTTGCTATTTGAAGGGGAGGAAGCGGCCCCTCCCATTCCAGCCCACTTACCCTTTCTGCACTGAACTCGGGCAGCATGATGCAGGTGGCCCCCACCCAGAGGGGGCACAGCAGTTTGTTGACCACCCCGTGGACGTGATGCAAGGGCAGGACGTGGAGAATGACATCGTCGCTTGTCCAGGCCCATTTCTCGACCAGCCCGGTTATCTGCAAGGACAATTGAACCACGTTCAGTATTAGGAGGAAAAGCAGAATCCCAGAGACCGCAGATTCCTTGGAACCAACTGTTCCATTCTCGCAATTCTCAAGTGAGCCGCAGTGCAGAAGACCAGCGACCGACTCACCATAGCGTGGACATTCTGGTGGCTGCTTAGGACCCCCTTGGGCCTTCCCGTGGTCCCACTGGTGTAGATGATCATGGCCCCTCTCTCCTCCCACTCCGAAATGGGGCAACCGGCATCTCCAGCAGATCCATCCGTTCTCCCTTCCCCCTTCCCAGACCGGGGAAGTGAGAGTAGAGGCACTCCCAGTTTCTCAGCTGTAGGGGTCATTTTCTCCTCCAACCCTTCCTCAGCGAGCAGAAGGGCACTCTGAGAGTCCTGGATGAAGTACTCCAGTTCTGACACAGGATGCTTCCTGTACAGAGGCACAGCAATACCTCCACTCATCCAGGTAGCCCACTGGGCCACGACATAGGAAGCATCGTTGGGGCATAAAAAGGAGATCCGTTTGCCCTTCAGGTCACCCTCTGAGTTTCCAAGGGCCTTGCAGATTTTCTGGGAGAGGCAAAGACTTCGAGCGTACAAATCTTTGTAGGTGTGTTCTCCTCTTTGGTCAATGATGGCTACCTTTTCTCCAAAGGCTAATGCTCTGGTGAAGACAGGGGCAACTTTTCTGTAAGCTGATATCCATCTGGCAGGCAGTTCTCTGAGAGCACAGAAATTAGTCCGGAGCCTGAAACAGTCACGTCCAAGAAAAGGCTGGCAACATGCAAACACACAGGTCAAATGCCTCCTGTTAAAAAGCAGACAGGAGCCTAACATTTTCTCTTATTCCGTGGATAAAAGTAGTGCTGAAAAAAAAAAGGCAAAAACTGAAATCAATCCAAACTAGAAAAGGGATATAACATATAGGGAATGGTTTTCTTCTATGATAAATATTGAGGAAGAATTGTAAAGAAATGGAGTAAATATTAAAATCTTCATGAATTTGCAAATGATAAAGTCACACATGTGACACAACTCCAGTTTAAGCCTACATTAAGTGGAGCAAAGATAATAGGCCTGTTTGCAGGGAGCTGATGAATACATGGCATTATTTCCAAACTGCTCAATATTACAATATACTTAATAAACTTCTGAATGCATTACAGAACAAAGTATAGCCTTGCTCCAAAAACATGACTTTGACCAGCTACGTACAACGCTCCCACCCAAACCTTTCTCTTTCTGTCTCTTCTAAGCTAGATGCATCAATCTTTCCCAGTTTTCAATACTCATTCTAAGAAGTTGTTTGTACTAAGGAAAAGCTTTTAACCAAACATACCCTTAAAAAACACTTCCAAGGTCAACAACTGCCTTTGTTTCATTTCACATATTCTTCCCTGGAAGCACAGTTTTTTTTTTAAATTAAAAAAAAAACCTACACGAGTATGAACCTGGCTGTGAGCAAAAGCTAAAATCTTCTTTAAATTTGAAGCCTCCCAAAACATTTTCTGGCTGATGGAGGCAGAGGGGGCAACCATCACAAGAGGTGCTAACAGTCACACATTCTCCTGTGAGACAAGTTGCAGCACTGGAGTGGTATCCTCAAAGGGTCTTCACCATGTCCTCTACTCAAATGTGTGTGTGTGTGTGTGTGTTTGTGTGAAGGTCACAATTTTGGATCACTTGGCACCAATCTATCACTCTTTCGCACAAATTCTCCTTTTGGCTGGCTGCTCCAGAAACTAATTCCATGGCCTCCAATACCTGCCTGGTACAGGATTCTAATTCATTGGCAGCCGCCGAGAGAGGTAGATATTGCTCAACATTTCTATAGTTTAATCACAGTCTCCCCCATTTATCAACCACCAAAATGCGCTCCGGATTTCAACAGCTACATCAGACTAGAAAAGTGCCACTACTTTGGGGCAAAAAGGCTGAACTGTCACTACACACATATAGATACATACGGACTTACAATATGGATCCTAGGGCTGAGGTCCCTTCCAGCCCTAGGATTTTGAGAAAGTGCAACCGGTCTCTGGTGTGGTTGTGGCAGAGTTCACACCTGATGCCCAAGGCTTGCTTTGGGATGCCTGTCTGCAAGGGGCCTGGGAGGCCTTGGGGGTTGAACTCCTAGAAGACCTCCAAAGTCCCTTCCAGTTCTATTCTGATGGATGGATGGATGGATGGGTGGATGTTTTTACCAGAAGACGGCCTCGTTGCACTCTTTTCTTTTTTTTTTTTTTTTTTTGCTGCATTGTCTCAGGTCTTCTAGCCCAGGGGTCTCCAACCTTGGCCGCTTTAAGACTTGGGGCCTTCAACTCCCAGAACTCCCCAGCCAGTTTTGCTAGCTGGGGAATTCTGGGAGTTGAAGCCCCCAAGTCTTAAAGCGGCCAAAGTTGGGAGACCCCTGTGAATCTAGCCCAACCGCTGCTCAAGCAGGAGACCCTGTCCAGCCGCTTCTTAGAACCGCTCCAGCGATGGGAGCAGCAGCCACGACCCCTGAAGGCAACTCCTGCTCCCCGGATTGCTCTCCGGCCGTGAAATCTCGCTTCCCCTCCGCCCTGTGTGACGAGGGCGGGTGAGGATGGAGACGCTCCCGCCAGGCAGGCAGCCCAGGGCAAGGACACACACGCCCCCCCCGGGCGTCCCGGGAGCTCCGCCACAACCTCCCCGGGGGCCCTTCGCACGTCCTCCGAGCCCGGGGCCGGAGAGGGACCCCCCCCCCGTCTCGCCCGCCGCCCCGAATCCCAGGAGGATCCGCACCGGCGAAGAGCCCGAGAGGCGGCCGCGGCCCCGGACCCCTCTCTCTTCCCGCCTCCCCACCCACGCGCCGGACTACACGCTCCATCGCCCACGGCCGCGAGGAGGGCAAGCCCCCCACCCGCAGCGCCCCTCCGTCCGCCTCACCGCAGCGAAGGGCCGGCGCCGGGCAAGCGGCCTGCAGGGTCCGTCCGCGAATGGCGTCCCCCCGGGAACGAGAGCGCGCCGCACGAGTTCCGGAGGCGGCGTGAGGTCACCCGCCCCGCCCTCGGCCCGCTGACGTCAAAGGAGCCCCGTGTGACCTCTGCCCTCTTGCGTCATCCGTGCCAGGACTAGACAAGCGGGCAGTGCTCGGTGCGGGCTGCTCTCCCTGGCCCGGGTCTGAAAGGGCCTGGCTTGACCCCTGGGCTTCCTGAGAGGTCCACTGCCAGGGGATCCCAGCACTGGAGATCCTTCGGGGAATGAGATTTCCCGAGTCCCGTTGTTGTTCTGCATTGGAGCTTTTAAATATTGCTCCAAGGAAACTAACCATTTATCCTCTGTTGCAACGTTTCTCCACCTTGGCCTCTTGAAGATGGGTGCGCTTCAACTCCCAAAATTCTGAGAGTTGAAATTCACACATTTTAAAGTCATCAAGCTTGAAAAACACTAATGTACAACAGTAAACAGGCTGTAAATATACATCTCTCTCTCCCTCTCTCTCTCTCTCTATATATGTATGTATGTATGTAATGTATATTGAAAAGATAGTTCTGGTCTCAAGCACAGTTGGAAGCCTACAGCGTGACAGAGGGGAGCTCTATAGCTAAAAGAGGGAATTTGATAACTGATATTCTCCTTGCTCTTATTTCGGCCAAAAGGCTAATATTGTAACATTGGGAAGGTAAAAGTATGCCCCTTTCAACCGGTGGATTGAAGTCCTGAATGCACTCGTTACCTTTGAGTGGAGATGCAGATTTTATACAGATATGTATGATGAAATATGGAACACATTCATATAAAATACAGTAGGTTAAAATATTTATACAAATGCATTAGAAATTAATGTATATGGACTGTACTATTTACATTAGATAAGTATATAGAATTGAAACTGTTAATTGCTACAATGATATGCAATTTTCTGTCGTATTCACTTTTTAAAGCACTGTATACGTGTAGTTTTTGTATGTGTTTGCATTACAATTACTCTTTGTTTTGTTTCTTTTTCTATTATTTTGTTTTAAAGCAATAATAAACAAATAAGCACCGTTGGAAGCCCTGCCTTCCTCTTTCCCTGACGGCTAATCCACCGCTTTCAGGTTGAAGGGTTTATCCAGACCATTTGCTAGGAAGCCTTGTGAAAATTTCCCCCCGCCTCCCATCTTATGCCCGTATTCCAGCTTTCATTTCAGCCAGGCCCCTGTCAATATCTAGCCTCTCGTGGAAGAACAGAACAGCTTGTAAACCTGACTGTGACCGAGACCCCCAAGGCTCCGGAATGGAAGCGCCAATTAAGCAGCCCCAAGGGGCTTCCAGCAGAAAGACTTCGTGGTCTTTAAGTCAATGTCATGATTTCCCCCACCCTCCCAGAGGGAGGTGTGCTGTCTAATAGATTTGAGGCTGCCAAACCCTCCTGGTTTCACACACCTGTGCCAACTCTGGGCACTTGAAGGCCCTTTGGCACTGAGCCTCATCTTCATCTTCGCCTCCACAACCAGAAGAATTTCCCACTCCAGGTGAAAGAGGGAAGACGGCATCTCCAAATATCCCGAGAAGCCCCATCCTGTGGCTGAACGGGTTAGCGAATGCAGCCCTCCTAGATTAGCTTCTCAGACATTCTTGTTTTTATCTAAATTGGGAGCTTTTTCTAGGACTGGACTCAGGGCTCGAGCCCCAGGCTGGGGAAATAGTGGGGATGCGCCCTGGGTCTCGCCACACCGAGGGCGATTTCCCACTTTCCTTCCAGACTTCTGCTTCCCGTTTAATGATCTCCAAAGTGCTGAGGGCAGCAGATTGCACCTTCTGCTCCATTAAATCCCCAGGGGAATCTCTTTGGCAGCTGTTTGGAGACATGGCCCACGTGTTCCATTAAGGGGACCTTCCTCTCTGGGTCACTGGCCATCGGTAAGCCAGCAAGAGAACAAAGACGGCTGTTGAAGAAGGCACCATCCATCTCCTCCCCGCCCCCCACCCCCATATTCTGGGACTTGGGGAGCAAAGTACCCCTGAATGACAAATGCTCCGCCTTCCTCAGACAGACAAGCAGATAACCTGAACGTTTGTTTCCGGCAGCGGGCTCCTTAAGGGAAGGGTGTTATCCAGAGCTGTAGCCTGCAGCATCTGAGGATGATTTCCATGGACTGTTGAGGGGGGGGGGGGCGGTAAAGGCACATAGATGATCCTCCAGCACAATCTCTCTCCTAGAAGACAATGGCCACGCCCTGGTCTCCCAAGGCAGGGAGTCCCCTGAGTGATCCCTTCTCTCTTCCAAGCAGTTCTGACTTGGCTGGGCTTCCCTGGGGAAGGACAGCTCCAGCAGGTCTTAGCTGGGAGCTGGTGGGGAGGAAACGGGTGGGGTGGTCCTCGGGGAAGCCCAGATTAAGCACTTGGGAGGACATTCCAACAGCCTGACCTGTGCTGGGAAACAAGCTGGTGACCAGGGCAGCCTTCCAAGAGCCTCTGCCTGGAAGGCCTCCGACATTCCTGCAGCTGCATCCTGGGCCAGCTGCAGTTTCTGGACGCTCCGTGGACCATTCTGGCTGGGAAGGATGAGACCAGGCACCTGGAGGGCATCACCTTTGGGGCAGAAGCCACGCGGGTGTGGATGCTTGCCGGGCTCCCATGGAAAGCAGCAGACACCCTTGGAGATCCAGAGTGAGCTCTGCACCAGGTGGGATGACAGCCCCCCCCATCACATCCGGCAGAGGGCAGCAGTGCGAAATGCAAACGCCGGGCCCCACGGAACGCATCCCCCTCCACTTCAAGGGCTGTTGGTGCTGCTGAACCTGCCTCCGCTGGCTTTGGTTTTGCTTGACACCCCCCCCCCCCCCCCGGCACCAAAAGTCCCAACTCGCTTTTCTTAGGCAAGCCCT